TTTTTTTTTTTTGTACTAGAACTTGGGGAGAAATAGAGCATATGGGAAGATATTAAAAAGATAAGTGCTAGTTTTTTTGTTTTTTCCGTTTTGGGCCAGGGCCGGGGTTGAACCGGCCACCTTCCGTATATGAGTCTGGTGCCCTACTCCTTTGAGCCATGGCACCACCCAATAAACACCAGTTTATTTTAAAAGACAAGAAGGTTCACAGATCTGGAACCAAACTTCCCATCAATTGCTCCATATAGAAGACCTCAACATTTGAGACGTAGGCTATTAGAAATTTCATTCTCAAGGTAACATTAATACGCTATAACATTTTAATTTTAGTAATATTAGCAATATTTTAAGATGATACTTGAGTCTGGTATGCAGCAATTATTCAACTAATATTAGAGATTGACAAAAACCAGCTTAAGGTGTGTTCAAATGCACAACCGTCTCTTTCCTTGTGGTTGGCAAGAACGGATGTTTCCGTTTGGCGATTCTGGGCTGTGTGGGTTCCCTTCTGACCGACTGCCTATAACAGAGTTGTTACTCTGTCTCGCTGGCAGAAACAAACAGGACAAAAGGCAGAGGCCGTGAATGCAGCCCACCCGTCTGGCCAGGAGAGAGACGCGGAGGCAGAGGTAGGAGGGGATCTGCGGTAGGATTAGGGCCCAGAGGTTGGTGAGGCCTGAAGACAGGTCGCACAGGACTGTCACTGCTGGAAAGTGGCCAGAGTGGGAGGTACAAGGAACCTACATAAATTTAAACAGCGCAGCACCATTAGTGACGAGGGGAGCAGGCTCTGGAATGAGGCTATTTAGATCCAAGTCCTCACCCTCATCACTTGGCCACGTTCTCATAGCATGAACTTGGGCATTTATTAAGCTTTCCAGGCTGTGACTTCTCCATCTGTAAACCAGATATAATAATAGTAGTAGAAGCCTCAGAAGGAAATTATAAAACTAAAAGGGATAATCTATGGAAAACACTTAATATTGAGCTTGCAATTTTAAGTCTTCAATAATGGTAACCATACGAATAATATTAATTCTGGTGTTTTTCAGTAAGAAGCTATTATTAGTTTAGCTATGTACTTAGAAGAAAATAAAGTTTAGCCATTCTCTCGAAATGGGCTTACGAACAGTTTAAAGAGATTAAAAAAAAACTTAAATGTATAAAATTGTTGGGCAGGGTGCGATGGCTCTCGCTTGTAATCCTAGTACTTTTGGGAAATGAGGTGGGTGGATTGCCTGAGTTCAGGAGTTCAAGACCAGCCTGAGTAAGAGTGAGACCCGCATCTCTAAAAATAGGTGTTGTGGTGGGTGCCTGTAGTCCCAGATATTTAGGAGACTGAGACAAGAGGATCTTGTGAGCTCAAAAGTTTGAGGTTGCTGTGAGCTGTGACGTCACTGCAGTCTATTAAAGGTGATAAGGTGAGATTGTCTAAAAAAAAAATGTATAAAATTATAAGATTATTAGAAGACAAGATGGGGGCTGTTTTATTATCTTTTAAAAATTCTATAATAGGAATTCACAAACTGCCAAAGAAACATCTGACAAATATGTATAAAGGAAGATTAAAAACTTTTGTGAAAAAAATATACCATGAGGGAAAAAGGAGTCTGTGAGAAAATATTTGCCACACAGAACAAAACATATCTAGATAAAGAGCTTCTAAAAAAAATGACAAAATTGTATAAACTAGGAAATAGACATTTTGAACAAAATATCATCAAATGCATAAAAAGCTACTTACCTCACTAATGGGTAAACTGCAAATCAATATAATAAAAACCACTTCTACTTACCCAAGTGGCAAAATAATACAAGACTCATAGAACTAAACATTAGTAATGGTTTGGATGAACAAGTAGTGAGCGAAAAATAATCTGATATTCTTAGAAGGTAATTTTTCTGAGCCTATTGATTTGTAGTTAAAATGTATATACTACTATCAAGCAAAGAAAGTAGATGTGTGATCTAAAGAGTAATTCTCCTGATATGTAAAAATACAAAAACAAAACCACAAATGGTACAGAGCACTCTGGTGACAACAGAACACTTTAACTACTAAATAAATATAAATAGGGAATTTTTTAAAGGTATATTATAAACATATTATAAAGTTATTGAACTCATCAAAAAGATTGGATAGACCCATGAATAATTACTTGGAACAATGCTCAGAAAATACTGTTCAGTGAGGGAAAAAATAGTTCATAGAAAAAGTGTATTCTTTTTATAATCACAACAATACCATAATTATGAGATACCAACATCCATGAAGATATCTAGTCTTGTAATAACTATAAGTAATCAGTTATTTTTATTTTTTAATTTTAATTTTTTATTTTTTTTAGAGACAGAGTCTGACTCTGT